CTCTGTTATTTCAGATTTTCATTTTCCTAATTATTGGTTAATAAAAAATCGTCTGCACCGCCGCCTTCTCCGTCGACCGGATCCGGCGAGCTCTCCGACATCGTAGGCATCTAGCGCCGAAGGAGCAGGGTCTGTGGTTGGGGACCCCGATCGATCTCGCCATCGACGGAGATGGTGTCGATCCGAATCTGGAACAGGTCAAAGGCCGAGGAGGCGGTGGAGAAGTTCGTCGTCGTGGCGGACGAGACGAAGCTAGTTTGGCGATGCCGGTGGAGCTACAATCTGATCAGATGGAATTTGGCTGAGAACCGATGGAGATGGGAAACCCTACGTGACGGATAACAGCTATTACATCGTGGTCTGTTTTAGGGTAAGAATGCCGTTGAAGTGAGTATGATTGAAATTTTCTCTTTGAATCCTGCAAATGATTTAGCAGAAAGAGCTTAATGATCAAGTGTCGTCATGAAAACAAATCCAATTTCTGGGAAATCATGCTGCTACTTTCCCTGAAGATCAAATCACTTGTTCCCAACTTTGTAGAATATCTTCGTTTGGGAGTTTTGACTTGAGAGAACCGTTTCGTTTGTAGTTTTCATAGGTTTGTTATTGCTAATAAAAGGTATATGTAATATTTTTCATACAAATCTGTATGTTTTTTTTACAAACAGATTATCAAAGAAACAGATTATGTGTTTATTCAAATGTAAAAACATATATTTTTTGTGTTATCATCTTCAGGAGCAATCTATTTAGACACATAAGTTTGCATCTTGAAAATAGAATTATCAGAATTTCCTTCTTGTAACTAATGGGCAAGATAAAGCTTTTACAACTGACCGTAAAAGCTTCGGCTTTGGGGATACAATTTTATAGATTTAGTTGGCAGTGTATGGTGCTTGGCCGCTAGTTGATCCTGTAAAGAGTCTCGAATTTGTTTAGAATATTTTATAGCAGTTTTGGCCGCTAATTGATCCTGTAAGGTTCTCAGATCTTTCCACTGGTGAATATGAAGATGAAGATGTGGAGGATCAGTTACATGATGCCACCGACTCCTCCTCATCCGATGAAGGGGAAAGTGATGACGGAACAAGAAGGTAGCTTGGTTTTAGCTTTCTTCTCATATGGTACGATTTCATTTCCGTATATTGGCTTTTGCTTAAAGTTCCTGGTAAAAATATTTTCACATGTGTCCATGAGGTGGTGTAACTTGTTTTGCAATGTCATTATAACAGCAAAAGATTCCATTGCTCCAATGTTAACAGGAGATAAAAGTGAAACTGAAGAATATATCCTGGGCAATTGCGAGCTTATCTTTGAAGC